GGACCTGACAGTGAGACTTTCCGATATCCTGTTGGATTATCAGGCTTTCCAAACGGTGCAGAGGGAATGCAGGACAGAGCCAACTACGGCCAGGCCACATTTCATTCCTTTGTCGCATGTTGTCACATTGCTATTGTTTTAGATTGGACAAACATCTTCTCACAGCAGTTCTGGGCAAGCCTGAAGCTGGAAGTTACTGACTTCATCAGGTTCAAGTGAAATGCAAATGTTGGCATCTCATCTATGGGTGGTTGGAAAATGCCTTGTTTTATGTTTTGAAAAATGGATGAGTAGAAACTTGAACTGGGCTTTCATTTAGGAAAGTAGGCATTACTGTTGTCAGGTTTAATTTCTCTCCATCCGTTTGACAGCTTGTTTCCATGCAGGGTCTTTTAATCACCAATTTAGGATTACATTTTGCCCATTACATGGATAATATGTCCAAAAACTTTAGCAAGCATTGAAAAGCCGTCTTAATTTTATAATTGTAAAAAGCCTCCTGGATTATTTATGTATCTATAGAGGTTTATAAAAGAAACTTTCACTTTACCCTTAAATCGATGTTATTCTGAGATAATTGGCCCAATATAAATAGATTCTTTTAAATACGTAGTGGGCTCCAAAAAAATTCACTTATACAATACCAGCTTATATCATCACAAGGAATTCATATAGATGTATTTCACTATATAATTACAAGTTGATGGTTTCTAATATACAGAAAGTGGCTTGTTGCTTTATTATTAGATGTGATGAAATCCTGTGTTTGGAAAAGAAACAAAATGACCATTTCAGTGGATTAATGTGCAGCATTCATAAACATTCCCAGTGCTGCTTTCATAACTTGGAGACCAAGGGAAGGGACCTAGACCTTTCCTTTTCACTCTACACTGTTAATCTAGTCAGAGACGCTTTTATTGAATGAGGAAAACAATAGTTGGACATGACTATGAGGTAAGAAAACGGGGAAGAAAAGTATCTGGGGAATTAAACCACGTGAGTTGTTTGACTGATGTTGATTCCAGGCAGTTCAAAGAGAAAGGGAAGCTAAATAATTTGGTTGTTTCCCAACCTTGACAAGTAGTTTCATGTGACAGAATGAAAAAATTAGGTCTTGCTAAGGAATTTTTAATATAGTTAAGTGATTTGTGGACATGAAAACTGCCAGTAGGCCAGTAGGTAGCAGTCTCTCTCTTTTTTTTTTCTTTTTTTTTAAACATATTTTGGTAGCTTGCAAGTTCCTGGTTTAGTTCTTTTTTTCCTGTGTCTTTCAGCTCTTCCTCTAACTACTTACGAAATCTGAGGAACTACAGTGACCCTGAAATGTCATCTGGTCTAGAGTATTCCTCTTCCTGCAGGCAGAAGTGCATCCAGAGCTATGCTCTCATATCCTAAATGTACTTCTACTCTCTTGCTATTAACCTAGTTGTATCAGCTAGCAATATAAATTCCTACAACAGTCTCCGGTCATGGAATAATTGATGATGTTCCCCAAAGACTTATCTATTAACAACCATTACATTTCATTCTGGAAATGAAAATAAAGAAGACATGTTCTTTCCCTTGAGTGGCTCAAAGACCTGTAAACAGATCATTATAATCAAGTATGATTCTATCAAATGCATAGCTCACGTGAAGTACAAAATATATCATCCTGATAGATTTTTCAAGAGAAATTTCTGAGGTCTTGCACAATTATTGGTTTTGCAAGATTGGTCAAGATATTCAGCCTTTTTGTTTAATAATTCCATAAACAGCAAATTTTTGAGGTTTACAGTGAGGATTACATGAGAGAACATATCTGAAAGTGCTTTATAAACATGGTAAGCACCTCTAAAATCTTACACAGTATTTACATTCTTCCAAATCTTGGCTATTGTGACAGTGCTGTGACAAACATAGGAGTACAGATATCTCTTTGATACACCGATTTCCTTTCTTTTAGGTATATACCTAGCAGTAGGATTGCTGAATCATATGGTAGCTCTATTTTTAGTTGCTTGAGGAGCCTCCAGATTGTTCTCCATAATGGTTGTACTAATTTACATTCCCACCACCAGTGTCCGAGGGTTCCCCTTTCTCCACGTGCTCACCTGCATTCATTACTGTCCATCTTTTGGGTAAAAGCATTTTAACTGGGGTGAGATGATGTTTCATTGTAATTTTGATTTTCATTTCTCTGATGATTAGTGATGTTCAACATTTTTTTCATATAGTGTTGGCCATTTGTATGTCTTTTGGGAAGTGTCCATTCAGATCTTTTGCCTATTTTAAAATCAGAATATTAGATTTTTTTCCTGTTAAGTTGTTTGAGTTCCATATATATCCTGGTTATTAATCCCTTGTCAGAGGGGTAATTTGCAAATGTTTCCTCCCATCCTGTGGGTTTTAGCTTCATTTTGCTGATTGTTTCCTTTGTTGGTCACTGTGTTTAATTGGGTTTGCACTGCTTTCCAGTTTACCAAAATAAGGAATTGATCAATGGAGGAAAGGGAGATGATTATGAGTTGGAAGAGAGGGATTCATTGGTTTGAGATTTTGTCTATTTTGAGACCCATTCCAAAACTGTCAATGATTAGCAAAGAGAATAAGGATGCCTTTCCGCACTGTGCCTCTATTTTCTACTCTTAAAGAGAAAAGGAGGAAAACTTGGTCAGAAAGTATACTGTCAACTGAAGGATCCTAAAGATTATCAGGGAAAAAAATCCTATTATGTAATTTTTAAAAGGACATAAAATTATGCAGTGCTATAAAAGAAGGGAAAACTGCTTATTTGTGTCCTAGTTAAAAACATTGCCCCAACCCCCGCCAAGAAGTCTTGGTTAAGAATTCTACCCTCTTGCTGAGGATTGTATGTTCTGAAAATTCAGTCTTCCTCTTTCTACTTTTGCCTCCCTAAATCCAGTCTTCCATAGCAGCCAGAATGATCATTTCTAAATGCAAACCAAATCATGTTATGGTTAAAACACCCTACTTGCTCCTTCTTCTTTGCAGGATAAAATCCAAACACTTTTACGTGGCCTACAAGGCTGTCATGATCTGATTCTTGCCTCCTCCCCTTGCCTTCATCATCTCCTCCCTTCCCTCTCTCTCTAGGCTCCAGCCACACTGGCCCCCTCTCTTACCTTTGGGGAATCTCATTCCATCTCCATGAGTTGTGCCAGCCACTGTTTTGTGTGGAAGGCTCAACCTCCACCTCTTCTCATGGTTCAGTTGTGTTTTGGGGTCTGTCTCAGCTCAGACCTCACCTATTGAGAGGGCTCTTTATTGCCCATCCAAACGAGAGTAAACAGAAACACCCACCTGCTCACCCCTTCCTTCATCGTTCCCTGTCACTTCAAGTTTCATTTTTCAGTTGCTAATTTTCTGCCTCCCCTACTGTGTGCCAGGATCTTGCTTGATTGACCACTCTTTTCCTAAGGCCTGGCATATAGTAAATGCTCAATAAAAAAAATTGTTGGAAGAATGAAAAGATGGGTGGGCAATGTTCTCAAACTAGTTGGAACAAACCTTTAGTTTCCTTCCCAGAAGAGAACATTTATTGAAGTTACTGCAATATTATGAAGTTTTGAGAACCAGAGGAAAACAATTTAATTGCAGGCATTGTTTTGGACAATCATTTAGAGTTAAAAAGATGAAGCAGCATTTATTAAAAATTCACTTGGTGCTTAGATTAATTTAGAACCTCTTTAATATTGCTTAGAAATGGTATTTTTCAGTTTAGACTTCAATTTGTATGAATAATGAAACAATATTTAGAAAATATTTCTTCTCTTGTTATTTAATTTTGGTTCTATTTCCCTAAAATGCACAGAAGCAAAATGACATGGAGTATCATTTTGGCTTGAGGTTGGAGTTCTACTCCAAGTAGACCTCTCAATTTGAAAGCCCTCCAAGCTCTGCATGTTGTTTTTGAGAACAGTTGGTCCATACCTAATCTATTTGTGAATTGAGACAGAATTTTATCATTATTTTTAAATCTAGTTTCCTTGGAGCTTAAGGGAAAGGTTTTATTTTCCAAAGGAAGAATATTACATTTATTTAAAAGAAAAAAAAAGCAAAACAACAAAACAAAACAAAAAAACAACTTGTGCTGTTGCCATTCCCCAAGTACAATCTGTCTTAAAATCTGAGGCAAAATAAGAAAGTGGTGAGTTGCATTGAAGGTCATTTTGCATAGTTTAATAATCATATTCAAACACTTGTATTTAATGATGTGTTGACAATGTCAGAAAATCAGATGTCTATCAGGAACAGATTTACTCTTTATATGATCCTGTTCCTAGTTGATATTTTGTATCTGAAGATATTTGTTGGGATGCAAAGGATTTCTGTGGGAAACATTAAAATTATAGAAATTAAGTATATTTTATTTAAAAGTATGTATGCTTACAGTGACTTATAGACTTGTATCAAGTTATGTAATTTACACAGAGGTGAACTTAAAGTGCTAACGTATAAAGATTAGTGACAGTCTTTAAATATTATTTAATGAGTTTTTCATCATGTGCCAACAGAATATATGATGTTAAACATGGAATGTAAGATTCTGAAATTAAGGATTTGGTATAATTATGACCTGGGCAGGGACTGATAAAAATTGAAGTTTAGTTGTAATCCTTGAAGACATTCAGAATTTGGATAAATTACCGTGGTATCTGGCACACAGAACATCTGTTTGAGTATATATAAGTGTGTGTGTTACAAACTCAGAATGGTCATAGGCTGCCCGTGGCATGCTTAGTGTTTGGCCCAATTGCTGTACAGTAGCACGGAGAATAGGGAGACAGCCTGACAGATGAATACGAGTACAGACAAAAGGCAAAGGAGAAGCTGTGCAGCTGCACTCTTCTTCATCTCTGCTGGGTTCTCCTCCAAAGTAACTCACCTGGTGTCAGACGAGTGGCACACGGTGTGTTTTACAGATGAGGCCTCAGCAGAGATTCACACAGGCTTGCACAGTTATCTGTCCCACAGATGTTTCGTCTTCTGTTTTCTAGCCAGCAAGGCAACAGCTCGACTTTGCTAGGGGATCACCTCCAGATGTTCAACCAAAGAGAGACCCTGCCACCCCACTGAGAGTAAGCAGACATCTCCTAACTACATCTGGGGCCACTCAGTGGCAGTACAAATTAGAAAAGGGTTAGCCCATACCAGCTTTGCAGTGGTCATATTTGTAGTTGAGAAACACATAGAAAACAAGAAATTCCAAATACTCACTTTCCTAGTAAATAGTCGGAAATTTACAAATAGCACCAAGTAACTTTTATAGGAAATTATTCAAATCTGGCAGGCAAGAATTTCTCTGTGACTTTTGTTTGTAAATTTTCCTTGCTGAAGTTAATTGAAATTTTTTCCACTGTGACAAATTTGACTGTTTAAACAAAAACAGCCTTAGTCAGATACCTAAAATAAAATAAGAAGTGCAGATTAACTCCCTTTCTGCTTTTATATTTTGCAACACTGGCACCGGATGTCCCATTTGTCTTTTTTGTATTTTGTGAATCTTCACAAAGAGCATATTTTATTCCAGAGAAGATGAAAAGGGGTAGTTATTGCTCCTGTAGACATTGACTTTGTTTTATAGCGTAGGAGAAAAAGTGTCAAAGCACTGTTACTAAGCATTAGTAATTTTTTCAGAAACGTATGAAGCTCCAACTAGGTGTTATGCAATGTATTAGGTACTGGGATATAAAATGATGAAAAACAGGAAGCTCATGCCCTATGAGATTTATATTATAGTCTGGGAAATAACTGTATTGTAAACAGAGATAGCGATATGATGCCAGATAACAATGAGGACTCTAACGAAAATATATTAATGAGATAATAACAGAGGCAAAATATGATAAGAAGGAGCCAGTCAGGCATATAAAGATTTGAGGGAGCAGAGAGAGCACAGCATAGACTCAGGCCTTGTGGGCGAACAAACTCTGCATGTTTCTATTCACGGGGCAGCCAGAGGCCCGGGTAGCTGGAGCATGTGAAAAAGAGAGAACAATATGCCAACCAAGGTCAGAGGAGTCAGTGGTGCCAGGTTGTTGAAAGTCTGTGGACCATGGTAAGAGGTTTGAATTTTATTATAAGCATAATAGGATGTCAGTGGGGGATTCTAAGCACAGAATTAATGTTACCTAAATTACATTTTTAAAATAATTATTAGAGCTACTGTAAGAGATTGTATTGTTGAGGGCCGAGAGGGCAATCAGGGAGCCCAGAGTGGGGCCTTTGGGTAGCTTAGGGTGAAAATGATGGTATTTAGGAGCGCAGTGGTAGCAGCAGAAATGGAGAAACATGTCAAGATAAAGCCTTTATGTTTGGAGGTTGAATTGCCAGGGCTTGCTCATAAATTAAATGAAAAAGATGAGTGATAGAGAAACAAGGATAAATCCCAAATATTTGGCTCATGCAGTTGGGTAAAGCTGTTTACTCAAATGAGTAAGATTGGGTGATCAATACAGTTGGGTTAGATGGGAATAAAGGTTATCTTTGAGGTATTTAATGTTTATGATGTCTATTAGATATTCTAGATCTAAGAAAAGAAGTTAAGTAAGCAGCTAACTATGCAAGTTTGGAGCTCAGGGGAGAGATTGGAATTGCTTCTATTAATCCAGTTGTCATCAGAATATATAGCTATTTCAGATCAAAATGTGGAGTAGAATGGTGTAAAAAGTTCTAGGTTTCTACTCTTCTCTTTTTAAATCACAAATTCTTATTTTACAATCTTAGAGATGACTTGTCTTTTTTGGGCATAAGACTCCTTCTTTAAAAAATCAGGGTTTTTAAGAATGTTATTAGAAGATTTTCAAGTGCAGCATTTCATATCTACATGTTTTCTACTCAGAAGTTACTGTTTTATGTCAAGAAACATTTCTTTTACGAACCATGAAGGAATTCTGCTCTTGGAAAAATATCATTTCACTGTTTGGTCTTCTTGCCAAGTGATCACAACGTTATTCATTCTGGCTTTTTTCTTCCCCATGTTTCCTTTGGTACATCAGAAGTGTAGATGAAGCCAAAGAAACTGACCGGAACAAACAGAGGCGGAGCTTGCAGTGAGCCGAGATCCGGCCACTGCACTCCACCCTGGGCGACACAGCGAGACTCCGTCTCAAAAAAAAAAAAAAAAGAATTGTTTCTGTATTGCGTGCCGAAAATTGTTATATAAACTGTCATATGCATATCTGTGTCAGTGAGGTTGTAAATACTGACCAGATTTGATTAATAGACTGAACAATGTGATTTCTGGATACTTCAGTGACTTCACAGGTCAGATTTCAGAAGGTCTTCTGTTAAAATGTACATATGCTATGTTCCGTGAAAACTCAGGGATTTGTTAATATTAGAGATTTTCTTTAACTTGCTAACTATGGGAAATTGTATTCTAGTAAATTAACACTCAGTTTGTCTGGTCTTTGGCTGCAATGGTAATAACAGTCTCTTATTTTCAAAAATGCTATGATTTTTGTCTTATTTCCCTTTCTAAAATGCTTCACTTTTGCTGCCACCTATTAATATCATATTTAAATGGCCATTGGGTTTGGCATCATTGCAGTCATTATTGACCTTAACAAGAGATTTTGGTTAAATAATGTGGAGGAAAGCCTAGTTGGCTGGATTCTAAAGAGGATGGGAAAAGAGAAATGAAGACAGTGAAGAGCGATAACTCATGGCATTTTATTGTGAAGGGAGGTATGTAATGGTGTGGATTGGGGAGGAGGTCAAGGAAAGTTTTATTTAAGATGGATGGTACTGCTGAAAGAGTACTAGTGAGAGCATTCCGGCAGAGAGGGGATATGTGTGATGGAGGACACAGTAGATAATTGCAGGAGTGGAAGGGATCCAGGGTGTAAGCCAAGGGTTGACTGAGATAGAAGAGCAGACATTTCATTCATTGCAACAGCAGGAGGGGTGGATGGGATTGCTTAATAAATGTGCTAGTAGCAGCAGGCTGAGTTTCTCTTCTGATGCTTCCATTTTCTCAATGAAATGAGAAGCAAAGGTATCAGCAGGGAGTGAGGAAAAGGGGGAAATGTTAGAGATTTGAAGGGAGAGGAGGTAGTATAAGACAGTGAGAGTAAATTAACTGGAAAAGTGGAATAGGCTTGCCAGGCAGCACTGAGACTCCATTGGAGGGTGTAGTCATGAATTTGGAGAACACTCAACATGATCGTAATTTGTTTATTTGTTTCCTAGCTCATTCAGCTGCTTGGGTTTGGCAGAGATTTAGTATTGACTAAGGTTAGAAGTCTTATTTGTCCAGTGAAAACCCATATTGAAAGGGGCAGGAGCACTGATGGTAATATAAAGGAATGGTTTTCAATGAAGTATGGAACCTTGTCCAGAAAGGAGGGAAGTGAGCAAATGAAGGGGACAATATGTAGTGAGAGTGTGGCTTGGAAAACCCACTGGAATGAGGGATGGTTGGTGTCAGAATATTCTAAGAAAGAGCCAGAAGAAAGGAATGATGTTTGATATTGAGATTTAGAGGAATGCAGGGTTACTGATAAAGATTAGGTCTCAGGTAAGGTCGTAATGTTGGGGAATGAGGTAGAGTGGAGGACTGGACCATTGGAGGTTGAGAGGTTGAGACACTGAGAGGCCATGTTGTGGCCAGGGATTAGGAAGGAGAAGAATTGTAACAGAAGAGTCTTTTTACTTGGTGGGTGATATTTTTGGCTTCCTCTTAGTTATTGAATATTTCCCTGTAATGTCAGACATCCAGAAACTAGCTAGGGTTCAAAGTCATGGCCCCCCCACCCCCCAGAAAGCAGGGACTTCTGACATGGTATTTCCTGGATACTGGCTCTCTGGCTAACCTTTCATCCAGCACACTCAGTTCCTATTCCACAGCCACACATCCCATAAAGTTCTTCTGGTATCCTCAAGAGGCCCTTATTGGCAGGATCTTTTGAACACCTCTCCGGGTATCTACTTGACTCCTTAGTGTCATTGGTCTACTAGCTCTACTGAGCAGGTTCCAAATAACTTTTCAGCTATGCCGTATTAGTGAGAGGGAGAGTTTCTACAGCTCAGTGAGCATTTGTCCAGTCTTCTTACAGTTGGTTTCTCTGATGGGCTCCTGCAGCCTCCTTCACCTGGCTAATATCTTTTCTCAGATAAATCCCTTCTTCCCACAAGCTCCCCTCACCTGCTCTTATTTGTAGTCTGAGGTATGAGTAAGGGTTGCAACACTGACTGATAGTCTCTCTCCCCCTCTCTCTCTGAATAATTAGTGGATGTTTGTTACTCAGTGTCCTTATTCCAGCCAAAACTAGGAATTTTTCTTTAATATCTTGTTTGTTTCTATGCTGTTGCATATTCTTTCTTTAACAGCCAATTAAATGGGATCCTACAACTTTGTAGTCAAAATTTAGGACTATTATATTATCTCTTTTATCCAGAATCTCAGTAGTATCCAAAGTATTATATATTAAAGAAGAGCCGATTAGTATTCAGAATTGGGACAAAAGTCCTGCCAATAGTTTCCTAAAATATACTTAAAGTCATCTAAACCATGATTAAATGAATGTGTCCTCCTTCTCCTGACTGGCCAGTAACAATGGATGTTAGATGATAGGCACAAAGGAAATTCATATTCAAATTTCTTCATTGTGATATGCGTTTTGATTGGTATATGTTTTCTTAGCTTGATCATGTCTGACTTACTTTGGTGATATTTAGGCCTTATATGTGTTTTTCCTAAGTTATATTTTATTTCTCTAGATTCTTACTCTTCACCCAAATGTATTATAACTTGTATCATCTACTTTAACATTATCTTTCAGCATTTTCCTCCGATCTGTTCTCAAACTCCACTAGACTTTTTGTGGCTTAGATGCGCTGGTCTCCTTTTCCAATCCAAGGTCCCCACAAACTCTGCCTTCTACCAGAAATGCTCCCCACCCTTATTTCCACCCCTGCTTCCCACCCCTCATACATGTAACTAACTCCTTTCCATCCTTCATCCTTCGTGTCTAAACCTAAACATAACACTTCCTCAGCTTAACTCTCTTGACAATCCCCATTTCCACTGCTATGCCAAGCGGTATGTGCTCTTATAACACCTTGTGTTTCTTTCTTCAAAGCATTTTATCATACTTGAAAATAGGAATAAGTATTTGAAGCCTTTCTAAGACATTCACTATAAGCTCCATGAGGGCAGAGCAGTGGCTATTTTTCTAGTGCTTAGCATGGTGTCTTGAACATAGTGGCACTCAGTAAATATTTGTTGAACAAATGAATGAAAATTCCTAATAAATCTACATGCAGTGAAACTAAAGGGCTTTGTTAGTGTTATCAGGGCCATTTGAGGTTGTCTGGACTGCAGGAACGTCTATAAGCCTAAAGAGGATGAGGTGTCCATCTAAGTCTGAGTACTTAAGTATTCACATTTTAAAACATGTATTTTTTAATTATGTGTGAGTAGGAGGTAAGCATGAATTTGACAAAGAAAAATCTGCATTCATGTTTATGGTGGTAGTATTATAAGTGTGCTGCTAGTTACAATAATTGCCATGTTGCTTACATAGGCACTGACTTAGCAGAAAACTAACAACTCTTGAAAACACAGTTCAAGGTCTACAGATGATTTAGTCCACAGGGCCATTGTGAAATAAAACAAATGGCCATTGTGAGATGAAATAATCTTGAGACTTTTTCCTCATTTATTGAGCTTTCATGTTATGGTATTTTGCTATTGTTTAAGTTAGGCATATTGTCAATTATCTTTTAAAATCATTAAGCAGTTAATTCATTGACTTCTGAAAACTAAGTTCAATCTGATTTATAAAATAAAATGTCTAAATAATGATTTTCAAATTAAAAAATAATTTCCTGATTCTTTTCTAATACTTAATTTCCATTTGAGTCTGTTCGTAAAGCATTTTATTATTTTTTTTAAATCTTACACCTTTCTAAAGTTCAGAATATCAAAATGAATATTTCTGTGTCTTCCAAATATATATAAGAAGGCACTTTTTCATTTGACTATAGTTTCTCTGTATAGGTACGAGAAAATTAGACAAAGACTATTAGCATTTGTGTTCTGGCTTTTACAGCGTTTAACATTCGTTGAAAAATGATATTGACAACATTTTTTATCACCCCCTTTATCTTTTGAGAAAAGTATTATTCCCAGGTTCAACTTTCAAAACTTGTCCTTTTGAAAGTTTCAGAGTTTCCATGGATAATTTATTTACCTTTTTGTACACCATGTTCTAACTGCATTAAAGAGTGGTCCATTAAAAAGAAAAAACAACCCAACACTTAAAGACCTCATTCCCTGCCTACTAGACCCACACAATATGGAATAATGGGACTACTTCAGATTTCGTATTACTGAGGAAACTTGTTGCCTACAAGTTCATTCTGAAATATGTGTTCAATGATTAGAAATCACAGTGTATAAGTTATTAGAAATCAAAGTGTAATTTGCTTCTCTGTTACCATCAAGAACTACTGAATTTTGAACCCCTGAACACTCTCTTCTAGCTGCTTTCGAAATCTATTGAACAACTGAAGCAACCAGGCAGTCACCTTGAGGAGGCAGAGGAAGAGCTTCAGGGGGACCAGGCGATGCAGGAAGACAGAGCGCCCTCTAGTGGCAACAGCACTAGGAGCGACAGCAGTGCTTGTGTGGATGACACACTGGGACAAGTTGGGGCTGTGAAGGTCAAGGAGGAACCAGTGGACAGTGATGAAGATGCTCAGATCCAGGAAATGGAATCTGGGGAGCAGGCTGCTTTTATGCAACAGGTAATAGGCAAAGATTTAGCTCCAGGATTTGTAATTAAAGTCATTATCTGAACATGAAATGCATTGCAGTTTTGGTAAATGGATATGATTTCCTATCAGTTTATATTTCTTGATGATTTGAGTTCAGTGTTTAAGGATTCTAACTAATGCAGATATATGTATATATCTATACAGAGGTCTCTCTATATACTGATCTCTATATAGATATCAAGGTTTCATTGAAAATCCACTGGTAAGGAAATATCTGTTACACTAAAATTATGATATATAATATCTGAGCAATTGATAGGCTTTAAATTTATCCCAAAGCCTGCTACACCAATTACTTCTAAGGAAAACAAATTCACTGTTATTTTTAGTTTATGTGTTGAGATCAGTGACTGCTGGATAGTCTCCCAGTCTGATCAATGAAGCATTCAATTAGTTTTTGATTTTTTGCAACATGTAGAATTCAATTTTCACATCACTGTAGATAATGTATCATACTATAGTCTTGAACACTGTTAAAGGTAGTCTGCCCCTTCCTTCCTCTCTCTTTTTTTAGTTAAGTAGAAATGTTCTGGTCACCATGCCAGTAGTCCTAGGTTATTGTGTAGGTTGCAATTGAACATATTAGGAATACAGGTGGTTTTAAATATATAGATGCAAATTGCAGCACTACTTTCAATATTAGATTATGTCTCACATAGCACTGCTCATTTTACTTTTATTTTGTGTAATTTGATGACACTGTCTATCAAAAAAGAGCAAATGAAGCAGATGCGAATGTTGGTGAGAAGTAATGTGCAGCATAATGGTCCAATCAGATACGATATTGTATCTACAATTGCAAAAAACACAGTAACAGGATGAATATTATCTGATATCAAGTCAAAATCAGTTTGAAAAGAAGAAGGTGTATCATATTTTATATTGTCACTAGAATCTCTTAAGTATAATTCCATAATGTCATGGGCATATACCATAACATTCTGACAAATAACAATTGGAAAAGATAGGTTTAACAAAAGAATTTACTTGTACATAATGCACCTTCAGGAGGACTATGTCCTTTGATGCTATAAAATACAAACAACTTTGAAGGCAACAGAAGACACTGTTTATTCAAGTCAGTTCTTTGTCAGGTTCCTGCTGTTCTCCTACAGAAAAGTGATTCTGTGAGGCTGAACAGGAAATGCCTTGTGGAAACAGGAAGTCCAAGTGATTCATGTACTGAGGAATGTAGGAAAAAAAATCTGAGGATAGTGTTTTACTCTTTCTGTTTTTAAAGGGCACTCTATGAATTGATTTATTGTCTAAGAAAATAACACCACAAGTAGGGAAATTGTTACGGAAGCTTTTCACTGGAACATTTCCTTCATATTCCCTTTTGATATGTTTACCTTGTTTTATAGGTTTACTTTTGTTAAGCTAGTTAAAGGTTCGTTGTATTAAGACTCCTTTAATATGGATAATCCAAATTGACCTAGAATCTTTGTGAGGTTTTTTCTATTAAAATATTTATATTTCTAAATCTGAGGTATTTCAAGGTGTAGTATCCTATTTCAAAGGAGATATAGCAGTTTTGCCAAATGTAGACATTGTTCAACTGTATGTTATTGGCACGTGTTGTTTACATTTTGCTGTGACATTTAAAAATATTTCTTTAAAAATGTTACTGCTAAAGATACATTATCCTTTTTAAAAAAGTCTCCATTCAAATTAAATTAACATAACTAAAAGTTAGAAAGTTTAAAACTTTTCCATATAATGAAAGTCCTTCTGATAATTTGACAAATAGCTATAATAGGAACACTCCCTATCACCAACATATTTTGGTTAGTATATTCCTTCATATTAAAATGACTTTTTGTCAGTTGTTTTGCATTAAAAATATGGCATGCCTAAGATAAAATTGTATATTTTTTCCATCTCATAAATATTCATTTTCTTCAAAGTCTTTTTTCAATCTCATAAAAAAGGGATAGTGCATCTTTTAAAATACATTTTATTTGGGGAGGAACATGTGGCTGAGCAGACTTTTGTATAATATTACTTCAAAGATATGTAATCACAAACAAAAAAAAAACTATTTTTTATAATGTCATTTGAGAGAGTTTCATCAGTACAGTTGGTGGACGTTAATTGTTTGAATTTGATAGTCTTTGAATTTAATCAAGAAACTACCTGGAACCAGTGAAAAGGAAAGCTGGACTTAAATAATCTTAGAATTAATTGATAAATGTCTCTTTTAAAATCTACTGTATTTATTATAATTTACACCCTCGAAGGTGATCTCTTGTTTTGTGTTGTAAATATATTGTTTGTATGTTTCCCTTCTTGCCTTCTGTTATAAGTCTCTTCCTTTCTCAAATAAAGTTTTTTTTAAAAGATCCCCTTTCATACACTTGGCTTTGTGTAAACTTGCCGTATTTAATCGAAGTTGAAGCTTGCACACTAGATCTCATATATCAAAATATATTGCCAGTCTTTGTTGAAACAAGAAAATAAAGACATTTTGAGCAGTTACATCTAATACCATTAAAAACAATAAATTCAGCAATAATGACTTTCAACTATTTACATCCAAAATTATCAAATAGCTAACACATGTAAAATTTGCTTCATTTTCCTTTTGCCAGTGTAACCTTTTTCATGATATGTTATCATGTTTGGTATTTAAATTAAAATGTCAACTTCTAAATATAAAACTTTATCTAAATAGTTGTCAGTTCCTAACTTTGCTCACCTTAAAAATTATTTTTAAAAAGCTTAACACAATCCCTTGAATATAACAAGCACTCAGTAAATATTAAAATGAATAATATTCAAAGTGTTGTAATAATTATGTCTATTACAGTGAGATCTTGAAATACAAGTAGAAAGTGACAGCACATAAATTTAAAGAGAAAATAGTAATTAAATGATCTCCCCTTCTATGGTAACAATTATTATAATACCAGCATGAGGAACAGGAGCCTGATTGAAGTAAAGGCAACTCTGCCATACTCTAAGTCACATCAGTATTGCATTAGAGTATCGAGAAATCTGGAGCTATAACTATTGACTGTTACAGATGGATTATCATTTTATAGTGCCATAAATTTGAGAATACAGTCAGAATTCTGGAAATACCATTATTGCTAATTATAATTTCCTGAAATTTGCCTTTGAACTATAAAATTACAGGACTAACTTGGTACCAGAGATCCTAAAATATGAGTTAGAGAAATCAATTAAAAATGGTTTTATAGTGTATATCTGATTTCTGAAGTGTTATATAGGGTGACTGTTTTAATACAAAGCATCAATCTAGCATTAGAAACCTTTTCTTTAGAAAAAATAGTTATTGCCAAGTCTTGAAATAAATAATCATTAGATTTTTTTTCTTCTGGCAGTAAAGTTCACCTTCTCATTGCTGAAGGTGGTCGATGAAGTGTGGACTGCTACTTTTCATAGATCTGAGAAAGAGAGTCTTTTAGAAATTGCTATATATTGTTGTATGCTCCTTTTTTTCAAAGGATGTTGAAAAGGAATTCAGACACTAAACCTTTTGTTGAAACCTAGTACTTAATAGATATATTGTTTTTAATTTGGCATTTCTTCGTGTTTTTTTCAATAATTGAAGCGTACAATTTTGAATCGCTGTAATATGTATAAATTGTGGGTGTACGATTGAAGGTTTACAATGATAAATAATTTGAGGTCTCCAATTGTAACTGATTATATCAGGAACTTGGAGATACAAAAGAATGAGTTTCAGACTATTATTCCCTTTATTATTGATCACTCCTTCATCTCCATTTCAAGAGGAAAATATAGAAGGCAATCAAAGAATTTGGGCAAATACAAAGGATATTGGGAATGTGACTTTTCAGTCATGCCAACATGTCTATGTAGGCTTAAAAATGTTTATATTCTTGTTGTTACATGTCATTTTATAATAACATCTTTGAGGCTGTAAACTGTGTTTAGGCAGTGCAACTTTTGGGGATCATTTTGATTGACAAAAAGATGTTTACTTTTATCTATTATACACACACAGTGTGCAAGCACTTCATATCTATTAGCTCATTTGGTCCTCATAATAACCTGATGAAGGAGGTATTATTATCATCCCACTGTAAGATGAGAGCACCACAACACAGATAAATTAAAGTCAAGGTCACTGATTTAGGAGGTCTAGCTTTAATTTGAACCCACGTACTTTGGCACCAGAGTCCCTGTTCTCAACCTTACCATTGTGCTGTGTTGGTGCAACGATTCTTTATATCTGCCCGATATGCTTACTTCTGTCCAATTTATTCAATTGTTTCTCTATCTCTCCTCATTAGCATTTACCAAACTGTCTTGAATCAATAATCTTTTTTTTTTTTTTTAATTTTTTTAGTTTTTTTGAGATGGAGTCTTGCTCAGTCGCCCAGGCTGGAGTGCAGTGGCGCGATCGCAGCTCACTGCAAGCTCCGCCTCCCGGGTTCACGCCATTCTCCTGCCTCAGCCTCCCTAGTAGCTGGGACTACAGGCGCCCGCCACCGCGCCCAGCTAATTTTGTGTGTGCATTTTTAGTAGAGACGGGGTTTCACCCTGTTAGCCAGGATGGTCTGGATCTCCTGACCTCGTGATCCGCCCGCCTCAGCCTCCCAAAGTCCTGGGATTACAGGCTTGAGCTACCACACCCAACCGAATCAATAATGTTTTTTTAATAGCTTCTATATGAGCTTAGTGATTAGAGCTCTTTTTTTTTTTTTTTTTCTAATTCTAGTGAGGGTTAGGGTTAGATGAGGGTTCTAATCCTGCAAACATTTTGTTCAACCATTTTTAATCGTGAAAATGTGTAGACTTCTTTTTTCTGACCATAGCCAGTCCTAGGAGGGAGTGAAACAGAGAGGCCACACTTGGTTAACTTTTAGGGGAAAGGAGAAAGGATTTCAGCAGATTCAGAGCTCTCCTTTACTTCTTACCTTCATTCCCCAGCCAGTGCAAAGAAAGTCCAATTTCTAAACCATCAGGACGCTGCCTTTTACAGACTTTTTAAACCTACCAAGGACGCACCTGATAATAATTTTGACTTCAGTAGTCTGTATAAAACGTTGTGGAAGGGAAAAATAGAGACAGTTGTCACATTCTAGGGTGGAAAGATGCATGACAATCCTCTTGAGGGAAACAGGTTCTGACCACACCCGTAGAGGTTCTGATTCTGTTGTTCTGACTAGGAGCCCAGTCATCTACCTTTTTCAAGCCCTTTGAAGAATCTGATTCAGAAATAATGTTTTAGAGATGGCCAGGTGCCCTAACCACCTTCTGAAATCTGGCCTGATTTTTAATAGCTTTTACCTAAGATCCTCGAGTTCTCTGATTCATAGTTTTCAAAATATCCTGTCTCCTATTTTTGTATATTGTTCTAGGCTTCTTCTGCATTTTAACTAAAGTATAGGCGATTCTCACTATATTTACTGGAATTACTTCAATAAGTTTTTGAATATTCATGGTGCTGTGCAGCCGTCACTAGTATCTAATTCCAAAACACTTCCATTAACCCCAACTCAAAAAAAAATCTTGTACCAACTAAGCAGTCGCTCCCACCCCACGCTCCTTCTTGCCCCTGACAACCACTAAGCTGCTTTATATCTCTGTGGATTTGCCTACTGTGGATATTTCATATAAATAAAATCATGCATTATGTGGCCTGTTGTGCCTGGCTTCTTTCCTTATGCAGAAGATTTTCAGGGTTCATCCATGGGATCAGTACTTCATTCCTTCTTATGGCTGAGTAATATTCCCTTGTATAGCTATACAACATTTTGCTTATTCATTCATCAGTTGAACACACAGTTTTCACTTTTTTTGTCTATTATGAGTAATGCTGCTGTCATCATTCATGTACAAGGCTTTTGTGAGAAGATGTATTTTCATTTCTTCTGGGTATACATCTAGGAGTGAAATTTCTGGGTCATATGGTAACTGTTTAACTTTTTGAGGAACTGTCAAACTGTTTTCCACATAGCTGAACTATTTTAATTTCCTGCTACAATGTATGAGGGTTCCAGTTCCTCCCGATCTTCTCCGTTTGTTATTTTCCCTGCTTTATTGATGGTAGCCATCCTAGTGGGTATGCAGTGCTATCATTGTTGCTTTGATTTCTGTTTCATTAATGACTAATGATGTTGAGCATCTTTTTATTTGCCTATTGGCCATTTCTATAACTTCTTAGGAGCAGCATCTATTCAAGTCCTTTGCCCATTTTCTAGTTGACTTGCTTGTCTTTTTGTTGTTGAGTTGTAAGTGCTTTTAGATATATTTTCGGTAGTAGACCTTTATCAGGTATATAAGTTGCAAATATTTTCTCCTATTCTGTCAGTTTTCTTTTCATTTTTTTAAGTGTTCTTTTATGAACAAAAGTTTTGAATTTTGCTGAAGTCCAGTTTATCTATTTTTCCTTTTGCTACTTGTGCTCTTGGTATCATATTTTAAAAACTAACCTAATCCAAGGTTATAAAGATTTACACTTATGTTGCCTTCTTAGAGTTTCATTAATATAAATTTAGCCCTTAATATTAGGTCTTTGATCCATTTTGTATCATACACATTGTTTTTCAAATAATATTTTTCCATGCATTTAAGTTTTTTTAAAGAGATATGAATTTCATGATTATTGGACTTTATTTTCTCATACATTATCTTCATTTTCCTTATTTCTACTAGTTGATGCAAAAGTAATTGCAGTTTTTGCAATTAAGATCCTACCCTGGTCACTCACTTTTACTAATTACAGTTGGATTTTATGTTGAAGCCAGGTGTGGAAGCGTGTCTGTAGACCTAGATACCTGAGAGGTTAGGGCAGAAGGATTGTTGAGCCCAGGAGTTTGAGTCTGCACTGAGCTATGATCGTGCCACTGTGCTCTAGCCTGAGTGACAAAACAAGAGCATATCTTTAAAAAAAATTATGTGGAACTAATGTTCATGTCTTCGCTTTGATCTTCATGCCTCTGTTGACAGAATTTCTGGAGAAAGAACCCTAGTTTTGCTCTGTCCAAACTAGTAGCCACATGTACCTATTGAACGTTTAAAATGCGGCTGGCAAGAATTGTGGTACAACCTATGTAGAAAATGCACACCAGATTTCAAAGATATAGTACAAAATGTGTACTACTATTTCATTAAGAATGATGTCTATTGATTACATATTGAAATAATATTTAAAATATATATTAAGTCATATAAAATCATTAAAATTAATCTTACTTGTTTTACTTTTTAAATGTGACTATTCAAAAAGAGTATATATGGCTTGCATTTGTGACTCACATATTTTTATTTGTATTTATGTTTCTGCTTTAGAACATCTTCACCTCATTTTGTATTTTGTTAATTGATAGATCTCATCACATCAATT